TATGGTGCGCTATTGATAAAGTAAATTTCTCCATAGGCCCCAAAAAAATTGACAACCCAGGAATTATAGGGTATAATGCAAACTAATTATCTAATCTCCGATATAATTACAACACATGAAAACACAACTGATAAAATATTTAAATACTCTATGATTGAACAGAACAAGTGAGTGAGTCCAAGAATCGAAAAAATAATGCTTGTTTTAAGACAAAATCCTGATAATTTTAATGATCATAATGAGTTAAACCTGTTTGATTACAGGTACCCTCAATTTTTAACTTTTGCAACTCCAAAAACCAGGTGTTTTTCCAGAACTACCATCTAGGATGAGTCCTAGGAGCTATAATTCTAGGGTTAGATGATACCCACTTAGTACTTTTATTTGTATATGTTTTAGTGGAATTTGGTGAGGGGTCATGAAATTCGTATCTAATTTGCTATCATCTAAGCTGGTAAAAGTTAGAGAAAGCTATTTACTGGTTGTATATTACAAATATACCTTGTAATAGAAAATATAAGTGTTTGTGATTTAAATTCGCTCAATTAGCTCGAAAATTTGTTTTATATCCATGACAAACTAACACAATCCTATTTATGTGATTGCCAATCTGTTCCCAAAATATATCAGCATGAATATATATATATTGATATTATTTGCAATTTCATCATTAAATAGTACTTTTTTTTCTATTTTTAATTTAGAAATAGTATATTCATATGATAGCGACACAAGATTTTAATTAAAAAATATATGTTATCGATCATCACACTCAAATTGAATTTCAAAAATTTTAGAATTTTTCAATTTCAATATTGAAAATATATTTCTTATATCATAGCGATTCATGTTATAATAATATGGAGAAAAATATTGTTTTAAATCTAAAATTTAAAATGAATGATTGGGCATTACATTAATCCAATTTATTGTTTATTTGTTAATCTAGTGGAAACAATTAATATTTTGGAGAAACAAAAATTTGAAATTTGAAATTTTGAAAAAAATGCATGAATCGGTAATTAAACATTGATTTATTAATTTATTAGCCATGCTTTTGATGTTGGTCTTATTCTTAAGCCGATTTAAAGAATTAATTTTTCCAAATCGTGTTTGACATTAACACATATAGATATATCAGGAAAAAAGGTATCACTTATCAAGTTATTGGTTTTTATGTATCTCCTAACTTTGCCTCGTTCTGAATACAATTCTAGTTAACGAATTTTAAATAACTATATGAAGAATACATCATTTTGGTTTTATTATTATTAAAATGATATATATTAGCTATGTATATGCTTGTAAGAATATTATTCCGTGAATTGGAAACAGAAAAAATAAATTTAGATAGAAAATGCATATCTTTAAAAAATAATATGAAATTTAGCTTTGATATTATTATCCGATAAAATATGCATGATAATTACTCCGCAAATAAAATTTAGGAAGCAAGTTGTGACGGTTTGGGTGGTTTTCAATGGCCCACAAGGAAGGAAGTATCGTTTTATCAGGCAACAAAATGTCTTGAAATGAGTAAAGGACTGATCACCCTTGAAAGGTTCAAACTTGCTTGCGCGCCGCAGTCTTAAAAATGATATGTTTCACTTCTGGTCGAAAATTTCAACCTCTATGACAGTTGTTGGATGAACAATTGTGTAGCGGGATGAAATCTGAGTGCGGCCTGGGGCTGCAGCATCAATCTTCCCGGCATCTTTACCGCAATCATCTCTTAGATTGCACACAAAGTTGCGAACGAGCAGTGTTCTATGCGGTAAAGATGCCGGAAAGAGAGAGTCGATGTGAGGGTCTTTTCGAGGGCTCCTCGAATGAGACACTGTTCCGCATTGATAACTTGAACGCGGAAGTTTGACCGACAAGAGTGCATTATCCAATCTTTTTTGTCATATCCCTCAACCCACAAAGACAAAACCTTACATAAAATAGGTAAACTTTGGTTTTCACTTAATAATGTTTATTTTTAATTTTTTGTTCTTTATATAACTTTTTCTTCTACTAAACTATTTTACAGACTCTACTGAGCTATCCTCACATATATACCTGTGACAATAACACATATATACTCCCTTCATATTCTGATCTCATGACATATTACAGCACAAACTATAATTATACAACATACCTCATAAAATCTGATTTTACCCCTATCTAAGCGTTCAAAACCTATTTTCCTTAAAATTTCTCTTCAAGTTCATACTGAAACAACATCTTTTTTTGAAAATACAATTTTTTCAAAAAATGTATGAATTCAAAAGTGCATACTATATCTAGTCATTACCCAACATTAATTTTGTATTTTAGTTTTTAAGATATTAATTTTATTATACGTCTTATTCAGAAAATTAAATATATTTGTGAGGGAAAACTGAGGAAATAATAAATATGTCAAGATCGAGGAATTGACAATTTTAAGGAAAATATTAAGTTGTGTATTTTGTGTTTATCTCATTGTGTGATGCATATTTTCACGATCTGACAGCAGAAATCGAATCAGCAGAGCCAGAAGAATCAGATTACGCGGGGAAAATAGGTTTTGAACGCTTAGATAGGGGTAAAATCAGACTTTATGAGGTATGTTGTATAATTATAGTTTGTGCTGTAATATGTCATGAGATCAGAATATGAAGGGAGTATATATGTGTTATTGTCACAGGTATATATGTGAGGATAGCTCAGTAGAGTCTGTAAAATAGTTTAGTAGAAGAAAAAGTTATATAAAGAACAAAAAATTAAAAATAAACATTATTAAGTGAAAACCAAAGTTTACCTATTTTATGTAAGGTTTTGTCTTTGTGGGTTGAGGATATGACAAAAAAGATTGGATAATGCACTCTTGTCGGTCAAACTTCCGCGTTCAAGTTATCAATGCGGAACATTGTTCCATTCTGGGAGACATGCAGAGGCAATGTCTCCCAGAATGAGACACTGCGACCGACAGGAGTGCACAATACACTCTTGTCGGTCAAACTTCCGCGTTCAAGTTATCAATGCGGAACATTGTTCCATTCTGGGAGACATGCAGAGGCAATGTCTCCCAGAATGAGACACTGCGACCGACAGGAGTGCACAATACACTCTTGTCGGTCAAAGTTTTGCAATCACATTCTGATTGAGAAGATTGTCTCATTCTGGGAGACATGCAGAGGCAATGTCTCCCGAAATGATACCGTCATACCAACACCAATTTATTCCTTCTTTCCATTGTCATACAATTCAATATTTTTATCAATCTTAATCAACTTTTTTTATTCTTCTTTAATTCAATTTATCTTTCTCCTAGAATATCTATTCCTTTAACAGACATAAAATCACTAATCGAGCTTTTTCAATACTCAAAATTTCATATAAATCTTTGTTATTTTTTCTCTCATCGCTTATTTTATTAAATATACATATTTCCTCTCACATATCCCTCTTCATATATATTGGATCTCAACACTCATCTATTAGAACAATATATTTTCGCTTAATCTCATATTATTCATTAACAATCTTTCATCTTCTTATTTCTAGTTAACCTACCAATATATATATAGAATATATGCCCAATTACATATTCAGATACATTAAATTCAAGAAATTCTTCTATTATTCTCCTATTCATAATAAAATCATATTTAGTCTCACATCACAATTCTTCAGTTCTCCAATATCATATCATATTGGTAACATCACATATATCTCTTATAATATCACTTAAATTTGTATTTTTTTATTAATTATATTTAATTAGTTCTACATTCTATTATTATAGAGGTTTGACAAACTCATCAATAGTTAAAATCAAAATCTATTCAGAACTTTGAATCTAATGAAAATTACATTTCGATATCTTTTTGCAAGCTTAATTTTTTGTATTATCTTAAAATACATTTAGTAATGTTATGTACGTATTGAATTCAAATTATAGCGCAGTAACATGCAACTCATCTTGAGATTCACATTTCATTTTCACAATTATTGCATATATACATCAATAACATATTGTACTCATATATCTACACGACTCTAAACTCAATGACATCAAATAATGCTTGTAATATTTAAAATAATTTTTGCATTTTTGATTCTCAGCTTAACTTCTATAAATGTCACCAAAACATTTCATTCCTACCAAGAAATAATATATTAGTAATTAAGCGTTTATTACCATTGTTACTCACATCATATTAATTCATTTTTGTAATTTTTTAAATAAATGACTGGAATCATAAACCCTATGTACCCATATCAACATGTTAAAATTTCAAAGTCTGAAACTTAGTATACATTGAGTTTCATGAAATCAGATAATCTCGTAGATTTCTTAAATATTATATATTGCTGGCCAATAATGATGCAGCATGATTCTCCATCATATCAGCATTCTAAACATATCTTTATTTTGTCAATTGGCATAAATTAAGGGTGCTTTTCAGGCGATAAATGGTATTTTAGATACCTGGGTGGGGGGTCATGAAAAAGTTGCAAAAGTCAAAAATTGAGGGTATATAAAAATGATTGTTTACTTTTGACCCAACAAATTACGGATAGTTATCACGATAATTATAACTGAAAAATATCCTAATTTGATTTATAAGATTCCGGGAGAAAGATTCAGTGTTTTAGATTTGAAAACCCTTTCAATTATGGAATAAGAAAAAAGAATTTTATAATTTGAATCAGCAATATGATATCTATATAAGTGATGCGTAATGAATTGAAAGTGGATTTGACATATTAAAAAATATATTGAGAAATCTGTTAAAATAAGGAATTGAACATTTATTGCTGATAATACACATAATCAAAAGTAAATTGAATGTATTCAATTTTTCGGTATGACAAAAATTTGAGATAAGTTTTTTGCCGCTCATTGAAAATTCGAAGATTCAATGATTTGCATATATCACAAAATGCATATTTATTTAATATTTTTACGTCAGGGGAAAATTGATTGTAAATTTGAGTTCTCACAATTTTTTGTGAAGCTCATAATTATGAACTTAGCTGAATTAGAGTTCTTCAAGTCACAGGGAATAGAATACCAGAGCACAATTGCGCAAGGAGGCTTTGGGGTTGTATTTTATGTTTACTCGACCCATTATCACTCATTTTTTGCCCTAAAGAAAATCCCAGATGTTTCATTTAATGAAAGTGAAATTGAATGCATCAAACAGATAGATGATCCGCATATTGTTAGCCTCTATCAATATTATAAGTTTGATAATTCAATTTATCTATTAATGGAGTATTGTCCATCAGATCTCGAGAAATACCTGAAATCTAATAGACATATTTCAGAAATACAGCTACAAAAATATATATATGATGCAGTTAAGGCTATACATCAGTGCCATGCTAAAGGAATTGCTCATTGTGACATTAAACCTTCTAACTTCATGTTTGATAAGTATGGAAGACTAAAAATTGGTGATTTTGGCCTCTCCACTTCCATGTCAGAGCTGGTTCATTCAAATAGAGGAACACCAGTTTTCATGGCTCCAGAAACATTCATGAAGAATCAATATTGTCCAATCAAAGCTGATATTTGGTCCTTAGGTGTCATAATTTATTATATGGCAACTCTCCAGTTTCCGTTTTTTGGAGAAACACGTTCTGCTTTAATCCAAAATATTATACGCACAAGATACAATGATGACAGTGTTGAGGATGGACGATTAAGGGAAGTTATATCAAGTTGTTTAGACCCAAATCCTGATAATCGCCTAAGCACAGAAGATATATTAAAAATGCCATATTTTGTGTGCCAGAATCAAGAATCTTGCCTTCCCCTTCTTAGAAAAGGTGGTATCTCAAAAAGCTGTGATAGATTAATTAAGCCATCTCCAAGTTTCCGCTCTTCATTACTTCATCGAATTCCATTTTGCTCAAGACTGTGTCAAAACGTTATTGTTTGATGAAACAGTTGAATATTAATTGATAGGATGTTGATCCCAAATTATATTAGTACCGGTATATTTATATTATTTATTCTTATCTTATTTTATAAACGTAACTTAGTATTTGTTTTAATTCGGAAAAGATCTATATTATTTTAGTAACTAGAATCAACGAACTTGCTTTTGATCAAAACAATAAGATACAATAAACGAGTTTTGAGATTTTCAAGCTCAAATGATATTTAGAATTTCAATTAAAATGTAGATGAGTGTTTATTACATATTTATTTAGATAATTTTCTACCGGGAATAACTTTATGTAATAATCCGAACGAAAACGATATAAATAAGATTCATCATACTCCAAAAATTAAATTTTGAATATATGAAACTGATAATAAGCGCCTAAAACCTTTTGATGACTTAAATTGATGTTGAAAAGGATAATGTTATATTAAAAGATGAAAAAGTTATTAGGGATACAGAGGTACAATTATCTGGTCATTAAGTATCTCCTATTTAATTAGTTCAGCGGATAAGATTTTAAATATATATAAATTTTCATATTTATAAGGTATTGTGGATTACAAAGCACTGGTTCTAGTTTGCTGAAAGTGAGGAAGACTATTTTAACTTCATTACATTATTAAAAATTGGTATCGAAGACAATGAAAATAATGCACGTTTAAAAAACGATTATTTTCGGAAATGCAATTTTCACCCCCTTTCTTTTTTATTGAAAGATGGAAGAATTAATAGCAAAGAAGGAAAGTGCTAATTCATTAATGAACTCTGGTGATTATGATAATGCCATTAATGAATTCACAAATATTATTAATCTTATTACACCAAAAAATGAAGATGAAGCAATTATCAAATCATTATGCTTACTTAATCGATCAATTTGTCATATTCATAAAGAAAATCTAGATGATGCATTAGGTGATGCTAAATTAGTTATAGAAACATCAAAAATTGTTCGCCCAAATTTAGATTTTACTCCAGAAGACAAATTTTCAGGAATTCTTGCATTGGCAGAACTTAGAATCGGTCAGATATACGAATCAAAGCAAGAAACGCTTCTTGCAATGAAATCTTACACAAATTCCATTCATTACAATCCAAAAGCAGGAGCTCAAGATTGTCTTTTCAGAGTATATGGCGATCTTGGACTTCCTATGCTTGATATCCAAGATCCTGACCTCAAATTTTTTTCAGATTTAATTTTAGAAATTCCAAACGAAAAAGGCGTTGTAGAATCGATTTCCCGTATCCTTACATTCTTTGAGCAATCAGAAATACCCGAATCCGTGCTCGACAAATTCGCAGATGAAGGCGTTTACTTGATAATTTTCGTTGTTATGCAACTATACATTGAAGACCCAATAATTGTCACTTCTTTGCTTATCATGGCCCGTAACCTTGCAGAGAAGGGAATACTCGATGTTTTCGATGGCTCCCCTGTTGTTAGGAATGCCATTGATCATTGGAAACAGAATCCAGACGTAATCGGAAGTGCCATCAAATTTTTGTCACTTTCTGTCACTTCATCTATCAGTGATGATGACTTTGTTGAGCCAATGATTGATGCATTAGACATAGAGATTACTCGTGATGAAGCAGACATGGCTTTTATGCTTTTGTTTAACTTAGTTCACTCTGAAGAAACAGATTTATTCAAAGGAAAGAATATTGTTGAAAAAATCTTCAAATGGAAGACAAATTCTTCGATTTTGCTGCTTAGTAAAGTAGTTCATACTAAGGAGATATGTGAAGAAGCTTATAACAAAGGTTCTCTGATAATAGCAAAGAATATTCTCCAAAATGTTGATGATGAATTCTTAATTGCTGCAAGTTTACAAATTATCTCAAATATTTCTACATTAAATGAAGAAAAATTCAATGATGACATTCCAAACATCATTGATATTATAATGAAAGTTGTTACGAAGAACTCAAAGAACGTGACAATTGCAACAAATTGTTTTTCGTGTTTAAGTTTTTTGCTTCCGAAATCTGTTGAAAAAATCAAAGAAGTTAGAGCTGTAAGAGCTGCTTCTTTGATTTTCTTGGTCAACCAGAAAGAAGAGAGTGTTGTAAGATCTGTTATTTCTTTCTTTTTCGTGGCAGCAAAGAACGGATTGGCCAATTCTATAACAGAAATTCCAAATCTTGTTTCATCTCTTCTGAATTCATTGCCAATGTACGTGGAGAATCAGGAAATCATGGAAAAGGCAATTTGCATTGCTGCTGTAACAAACCATCCTAAAGCTAAAGCATTGATATGTTTTGGCCTTGATAAATTCCCAGAGTCTGTGATTCTCAAATCTCTTGTTGCAAATATTTCTGAATAAAATGTATTTATAAAATGTTTTCATAATATAATTTTGGTTTTTTCTAGTGAATTGGCAGCTTTATATTTGATTTTCTAGATTTTCAGGATCACGATGTAATATATTTCATTCCATTATTAATGTATTTATTTTGCATTGTGGCAATTGCATGAATAAAACATTTTAGATGAAATACGATTCATACCATGTTGTTTTAGATTGATGTTTCACATGATATTTTAATAATTTTATAAATCGAAATGAAATTTAAAATAATTGTAATAATTAATGCTTGAGAATTCATCGAAATAATATCTTTTGATTATGTATCGTATATTAATAGTATTTTGTCTTAATTCAAACATAAATGAAAATGAAATTTTATCGAATGTAAAAAAACATGACTTCCAAAGTAGTGTGTTTTTGATTACATTTTTCAAAGTATTACATTCATAAAAAGTAGAATAAATTTCGAAGAAAAATTATTTAATCATTCCTCAAATCATTTAAAAGTATGGGTAGTAGATCCTTGGAAAGTTATCCTCGTACTCATACTCATTGTGCTCGTAAGAGATGCCAATTTTGCCCCATGGCTTTGGGAGATGGTAGTAGAGGCCGATTCTGAAGTTGTCGTCATCATATTCCTCTTCGTTGAGTTCATATGAGAAACCGATCTTTCCTAACTTTCCTGGAAGGTGGTAATAGAAGCCAACTTTCAAGTTGTCATCATCGTACTCTTCTTCGTTGCGCTCATAGGAAATGCCAATTTTGCCCCATGGCTTTGGAAGGTGGTAGTAGAGGCCGATTCTGAGGTTGTCATCATCATATTCCTCTTCATTGAGTTCATATGAGAAACCGATCTTTCCTAACTTTCCTGGGAGCTTGTAGTAGAAGCCAACTTTCAAGTTGTCATCATCGTACTCTTCTTCGTTGTACTCGTAGTCGTTCAAGTCGAAATCAAATTCGAAGTCACCATACTTTGTGTGCCAGACCTTCTTCCAGTTGTCGTCGTCTTCTTCCTCAGCACTGTTCCAGTCGAAATCAAATTCGAAGTCGCCATACTTTGTGTGCCAGACCTTCTTCCAGTTGTCGTCGTCTTCTTCCTCAGCACTGTTCCAGTCGAAATCAAATTCGAAGTCGCCATACTTTGTGTGCCAAATCTTCTTCCAGTTGTCATCGTCTTCTTCTTCAGCACTGTTCCAGTCAAAGTCAAGTTCGAAGTCGCCATATCTTGTGTGGAAGACCTTCTTCCAGTTTTCATCTTCCTCTTCATTGTACTCATAGCCGTTCCAGTCGAAATCAAGTTCGAAGTCGCCATATCTTGTGTGGAAGACCTTCTTCCAATTTTCATCTTCCTCTTCTTCGTTAAGGTCGTATCTGATTGGATCTGGGATACGATAGATTGGGCCTGGGATACGATAGATTGGTTTATATTGATCCCAGTATTTCATGCAGACCGTAAAGGCAAGCATTCTTTAAAAAAATTGATGATGTCAAAAACGGATTATATCTTTCAAATCATATTTATATAATTTTAAACAGTACATACATGAACGAGTACTATTCTGGCATAAATGAATTTGAATGACTCACAATTAATCGGTTTTGTCAGTCAGAATTGGCAAAATCTATCGTCTACACAGTAATCCGATAAAATCCTATAATTGGTTAGTCAGAAATTATATTATGAATCCATTAATAGTTATAATTATCCATGTAAATTTTCGGATTAATAAGCTCTCAATATCTCAAAAAAATAAAGATTCTGATATTTTTAAATTGTATTGCTTTCAACTATTTTATCAATAGTAAATCATTTTATTATTTGTCAAATGACACAAAAGTGACGAAAATTTTTATATATCGGGAAATAATTAATAAGCAATATTTTTTCAATATAGGAAATAGATATTTGTTTCGTAATAAAAATACTAACATACTTACCATCATAGTAAGCATCAGAAGATATCTAAAAGTCATAGTAATAAAATTAAATAATTTATTCTCTATTTAAAAATATATATATCTATTCTATAAAAAAGAAGTTATTGAGACAAAGATTTTGCTAGTTCAAACAACTGTTCAGGTACAAACTGTGCCAATTCGCTATTACCAAATATCTGCAAGAAAAGAGACATTGGATTTACGCTTTCGCAAGGCAAAACAACTCCTTCGTCAACAAACTCTTCATCAACTCCTTCTTTATCTCCTACATCTTCTTCTTCTTCAAAGAAATCCTCTTCTTCTGCATCCAACTCATCAACTTGAGCCAAAACTTTCTTTCTTTGAAGCAATTTCTCTTCTTTTTCTTTTGCATTTTGTATCATTTTTGCAACGTGTTGTGAATAAACAACTGTTGGCTCTCTTGCTTCGTTTGAATACCTTGATACGTAAAGCAGGCAGAGCAACCATATCTTTGCGTTCCTTATTCCTGGAGGAGCGTTTGGATGTGCCTCCAATCCATTGTCAGTTTCAATGACTGTGTTTTGGAGGTAAAAATCAACAATTTCTTGTGGAACAGCAATTTCTTGATTATTCATCATAGCTGTTGCATAAACAAATGCAGCAGCACTTAAATGGATAAGTGATGTATCAAGTTCGTTGTTTCCTAGTAAGTAATTGTTGACTAAATTCAAAATGTCAGAAGTGAACTCAGGACGAACAAAAATCAAAGCAGACATGAGAACAAAGAAAGAGCCAACATCGTTGGGGAAGATCATTTCGCTGTTCTCTGGATTAGTAACTTTGCTAACCATGTCAATGACCATTTGAGTCAAACTGTCGTCAGTTTTGAATTCGTCAATTTTTGTGATACAATTTATCAGAATTGACGAGATGTGGATTAATTGGACTTCCTCTTGGTTCTCGAGAAAAGCGTTGAGAGCGGAGTCCAGAACAGGAATAAACTTCACGTAATCGCTAGAAAGATGTTTCATGCGGTTTGACAAAGTGACGATACAGCTCAGAATTTCTGATCCTTGCGAAACATTGATTTTCATGGCTTCTATGGCTGTTTCCATCATGAGCTGGGATGCTTCGACAAGGCTGTCCTCTGAAATGCCGAGTAGAATGGTCTTGATGTCTTCAATCGTGTTCATGAAGTTTTCTGGAAGATCATCGTTCATCATTTCTTCATCTGCGGTGATCAGCTCGTCGAAGAGCTCCATCCACTGCATGACAAGTGGGTGTAAGAGCTGATTTGAGAATTGTTTGGCCTCTTCGAAATTTTCCAAAATAAATTTAAGAAAATCGGGCGTAATGGAGAACTTCTGTGGGGAATTCATCATGGCTAGTAGTTTCTCGATAAGTTCGTTAACTGGAATCTCTCCAACATCGAATGAAATTTCGATTGAGAATTTGAGTAAAGAAATGCATGCAAACTGGAAGACATAGTTATCCTGAGAAACAACGTTTAGTAATTCCCAGGCTTCTGACTTGAGGGAATTTGATTTCAAATCTGCCTTCATAAATATCATCATTAGAGTAGGAATGAGTAGCAGAACGCCAAATTCTTCTCTTACCTGATCGATATTCGCTTCCAGATTTGATAAAATTGGTGCAGATTCGAAGGTTGCAGCATCTTGTAGAGGAAGTGACAAGAAATAATCATGTATTGAGTTGCTGAGGGCTCTCTTTATCTTGCCCTTCCTTGGCGCATTGCAATATATGAAGAATCTTGCTTCTTTCTCGTAAATGTTCTCAATTTCATCGCCTGGCAAAACCGCCGTGAAATCGAACTTGTCGAAGCTCCTTAAGCAAAGACATACGGCACCACGAACTGTTTCGCGTTTAACAACTTGGGCGAGATTGAACTCGATGTATTCTACGGGATTCATGAAGTATTCGACGATTTGGTCGTTGGATAAAATTGTTGCTGGAATTAAAACGTTTGCAATGAAGTCTTCTGTCTCGAAAGCACCTGTAATGCCATGTAGTTGAGTAACAATGTTGAGTAATTGGCAAAGGAATTTATCATTCAGCTGATTTCTGTTTTGAATAAAATAATTAAAGTTTGAACTTACATTTTGTACAAGAATTGGTATGATTTCGTCATTAAATTTGCTTGAAAAGCTTGGATACTTGGCGCTGTTTGAAAAATCGTTGACAATTTTGTTAAATAATTTTATAATTGAACTTTTCATCTTGATGACAGCTTCAGTATTTTGATCAACTAATAGTAAGTTGATTGATGAGATGAAAAATTGCATTAGCTCTTCCATATCAAGAGAAGCAACGCATTTTATTAAAACATTTCTCATTAACTGCATGTCAATATCAATAAGCTGATTGTTGATGGATGTCTTCTGTTTTTCGACTATATGAAGTGATAATGGAGCGTAAATTTGCATCCAACTATCAAAAATTTCAATTTTTTCATTGGAATTGATATCTCTAGTGGCATAATATTTCTGAGCGATTGAATTGCAAATGATTAAGAGATTTGTAAGAAGATTATCGCTTGAATTTGGATTAAGATATGGAGAAATTGTTTCTAAGAGCCAATCACATGTATCTTTTGCTCCAAGATTAGTGCATAATCTTATTATTTCGACAAGCTCGGATGTTTGATCGGGTTTGGAAGAAATTATTTGTAATAATGGTGAAATAAGTGATTGAAGGAATTCATGAGATATGTCTTGTTCCTTATTATTGTAGAAGCAACGTCTAAATAACTCTTTTAATGCTGTTGCTGCTGCCCAAAAAGCATCATGATTTGATTGAACTTGTGGGTCTGATAATGAATCAAGAAGAGGTTGCAAATATTCTGGATTCTCAATAATTTCGTTAACTGTCTCTTGAGCTGAGGAATCGCCCTTAAGGCATCTAACTAAAACAGAAAGATCCATATCCAAGATTTTAGAGGGCAAAAATCTCAAGAGATCAAAGAATTTAAGTGTGCATGATGTGGAATTAAGTATCCATGAAAAACTACCTATATTCATAATTAGTTGTCAAAAAAATGCAAAAACAATATTCAATTTAGAATTTTTCTATATGAGAATGAATGCAATGCAATAGGAAAAGGATATAAATGACCGAATAACTCGAAATTGCCACCTTAGATCGGATATTCTTGAATGTATGCCAAGGATATCTACAAATCAAACATTGAACCATATACTATAGCAAAGCCACCATTTGATTCTAATTCTTGTTCTATGCTTCCTGCATGAAATGTAGATGTCAAGGATTTATTCGGAAAAATTTATATTAGTGCTAGGAATAATTTGTAACATTAATTACCGCTAAACTCTTTATCTCAACTAGAAATTAGAGAATTACCTAGAAAAAATTATTAGCTGTGAAAAATATTTAGAAAACACTTCTCGAAGGTTAAAACAAATCTATGAACAGCAACAGTTAAGGGTGTATGTAGAATCTATAAAATAAGTTATCACCCATGGCTGATATTATTAAATAATAATGAGTTTAAAAAAAGAGAATTGTAAGTAATATAAGGTTTCAGAGTTGGAAATGTTTTATTAGTATTTAAAAGCTATAAATATACGGAATTTATAAGTTTAACCACACTTCCAGAGCTGAACGGCAACTTGGCCGATGTAAAAGTAAATGAAGTGCTTGGTTTCGTGTGTAACGAAGGAACCAAACGAACGACCAACAACGCAGTGCCAAGTTGGGTTGTATGTCTTGTCGAATTCCTTTTTGATATATGAAGCGATATCCTTTTCAATATTGAAGGAATCAAGAGCTTGGATAGCTGTGTCGATTGCCTTCTGTTGCATTTCATCGGACATATCTACGTTTTTAACGACAGCGCGTTTATCTGTGGACATGAACTTATTAAACCGTAAAATAAACGGTTTTAAGTCACTTTTGGTATATCAATGAATTATAAAATAAGTTAATCTCTTGGTGAATTTGTATTTAGTAAAATAATTCATAATTTTGGTAAACTGGAAAATTGAATTTAAAAAAAAGCCAATAAGAAGTTGGATTGGTGTAAGTTTTGCTAAAGAAGAAGTAGATGGATAAGGAGCTCATTTAGGTATGAAATGCAGAGTATGAAAGAATGTTTAGGGAGAGAAATATTTTAGATAACTTATGTATGATTAAAATTGAACTATTCCTCATGCTCATCTAAATATTCAATACAACAGATGAATAATAATTCATTATCAAAACATTTTTTACCCATTTCTTGAAAGCATCTGTGGTCTAATCGGATAGGATTCTGCTCTCCGGAAGCAGGGATTACGGGTTCAAGTCCTGTCAGATGCGCATCATTTTTTCTAAAATTTTTGGAAATTTTTTATTTTTGGCTAATTTTTTGCATATACATACCTAAACATTAGTAGTCTGAAATTTTAATAAAAAATTTAAATTGATTTCCAATCATCAAAATTTTCTGATTGTGAATTCAAAGGACACCTAATAATTTGCCTTGATAACTTGTATACCTTTTTAATCTGTAATCTCTTTTAAGACATTGGTTACAAAACTAGCTTTGATGTTCTTGTCCTTCATAGTAGAACAAGAAATGCCTGAAGAATATCTACCATTCATGCACTTGGTAATCTTAATTCTTCTAAGGACTTTCGAAGAATTATCTCAGATTGAATGTTACCTTCTGTATTTGGATTAGAATCAGGGAGAAATATCATGAGTCTTTTCAGCCATTAATATATCTCATATTGAAATATGAGCATAAAATAAAGAGTTCAGAAAAAAATTAAGAAAAAAAATTAATGTGTCTGTAGTTTTTTATTTTAAATTGATTGACACTGCCAATAAAATGGCAGAATAAGTTTGGAATGTAAGCTAAAATTAATAAAAGTTAAAAATACTGTGTGTTAGAATATCTTTTTAAAGAATTAATGTTCGCTCAGATGTCATTATCATCAGTGTGCAGCAACACGGATTTTTATCATCAAAGCGGACATTAATTCGAATACGTACTTCCCTTTTACTTTGATTAATTATGGCCCGATAACCGTTTTTATCGTATCTAATCCAGACATAAATTAAACTTTTGACATAATTTACGTGTCAAAATCTTGTAGTAAAGTTGTTTTTCTATAAAATTGTAACTTAAAATGGTCCAAATTCATGAAGCCAATTTTATGTAGAGTATATGTGCGAGGAGTTTATATATAATACGCATTTTATGGGCTCTCTGCTGTGCTGCGCGCCGATATATAATGAAAATTGAGAGTACAACCATCATAAAAAACGTATTTTTGTTTTTCTTCTTCCAAACTTTACTTTGATGACTTTTCGTGGAGTTGGAGCGCTCAAACCCCTAGGCGCGAAGATGAAATCCGTGGAAACATCAAGTAAAGGAACATCTCCCCAGGAGTTATCTCCTGCCCCGCAAAAACAAGTTTCATGCGAAGAAAATTTCGACCAAATGATGATTGACATACAGACTATGCCTGTCAATCAAGTTATAGAAAGTGCTCTTGCAAAAATAATGAATGTTTCAAATGTCGTTTTATGGTTAGTTTATGAAAATGAAAAAAGATTTTATTCACCAACACTTTCTAAATCTATTCCATTTGAAAAAAGCTTAGTAGGATACTGTTATCAAATGCACTTAATCCAAGTTACTGAAAATCAATCTTCTCACTCGGCATACGATGAAGAATTTGATTCAGTTGGAATTCCTGCAACCAACCCTGTGATCATATTCCCTGTTACTAATAGAGCAGATAAGATCATTGCAATCATCGAACTTTCAAGAAAAGAGCCAATTTTCACTGAACAAGAACAACAAATTGTTTCTTACTACCAATCAAAGTTCCGCATTTATTCAAGATACTTATTCGAGAAAATGCCATCCCTTTCAACAGCAAAAGATTTAGTTGGTATTGATTATCTCTCAAAAGTTGTTACAAAGCTGGAATCAGCCCTTTGTCATTTCTTCAATGCAAACTATGCAGACTTCTATCTGATGAAGACAAAGGATAAAGTATTTTTGCATTTCGAAAAGAACAATGATAACCCAACAATCATCAACGAAGAGAACTTAGGCGTCATCGGGTATGCGCTAACAGAAAATTACATAGTAAATGAGCCCCAATTGAAAGCTCATAAGAGGTACAATGAAAATGTTGATAATTATGGCGATCAAAGCGCCCTCATTGTCCCATATGTTCAAGAAGATGGGAAAGTATGGGGTATAGCACTACACGGTCGTGTTAAAACAAACGGATATACTAAATTAGATGAAAATTTATTATTATCTCTTGCCCCGTTCGCCGTGAAGAGTTTAAGTACATCTCTTCATCCACCACCAGATCTTCCTCAGCTTGATGACTTCGAAAAGCGTCTTGCAGCTCTTCTTGAAATTGCTCAAGCCTTATCTGGAGTTTTAGATATCGAAACTCTTATTCCAACCATTATGGAACGTGCTTGCAACTTACTTCATGCAGAAAGATGCTCTCTTTTCCTTGTAGATAAAGGAAAACAGTCTTTGGTCACTCATTTCCAGTCAGGACTTGACAAAGCCCTTACAATTCCACTTACCCGTGGCATTGTTGGTCACACTGCGATCACAGGTAACGTTGTTAACATCAAAGACGCGTATTCCGACACAAGATTTGACAGAACAATCGACCAAACAACTGGATTCAGAACCGTTTCACTTCTTACAGTCCCTATTTACAATAACCGAGGCGAAATTACCGGAGTTACCGAGATGATCAACAAACTTGACGGAGAAGGCTTCACAGAAGACGATGTCCGTATGATGCATCCATTTAATGTCTTCTGTGGTACATCTTTAGATAATGCTAAGCTCTACAAGGCCTCAATCGACTTGACAAAACAATTGAGGACATTAACAAAAATGTCGGCAGTTTTAGGCCAAGGAACACAATTAACAGGTGTTGTAGAAGAGATCTTAGAGAATGCCAGGTCCATTGTTTCAGCATCTCGTGCAACTTTGTTCATTTACGATTCCAATGAGAGAATTACTAAACAATTTGCGAATATCGGCAACGAAATCAAGTACGGAACAATGTTTGCTGATATAGTTGTAAACGAACGTGAAACAAAGATCTTTTCTTCAATGGATATCGCAAGACTTACCTCCAAAAATGTCTTGGAAAGTGCCATTGAAAAACTCATGTCAGAACCACCTCCTGCAGAGATCTTTTCCAGTTCGAATCTATCAACGCGTTCATCCAAATCGAACCTCTCCTTCCTGAGCAGTTCCAGTGACAACAACAACAGTGTTGCTCAGCAACAAAACGTCAACGAATCAATCTGTTCAATACCTTTGATGGACTCTTCTGGAATCATTTTAGGTGTCATGGAGCTCGAATGCAACTGGAAGATCATCAACGAGGATATGGACATTCTCGATTGTTTTGCTGTCTTCGCTTCTGTTGCTATAGAACGCGCCAATTTAAAGGACATCGCAGAGCACGGACAAGTTGAAATTGATCTGAAGCATTGGCTAACTGAATCAGAAAGAGATGGATATTCAGTTCCACAGTCATTCCAGCTTCCTCAAGAGGTCATCGATGGATTCTTCACTGTTAACTTCGATGCCCCAATGTGGGATGGCATTGGACACTTCAAAGTCATCTTCAACATTTTCCATCATTTCGGAGTTCTCCAGATTTTCAAAGTGACAAATGAAAAGTTCTTCAGATTCTTGACAGCTTTGAGAGACAAGTATAAAAAAGTTCCTTACCACAATTGGAGACATGCAGTCGATGTCACTCAATTCGTTACTTACGAGTTGATAACATCCGGCTACGACAAGATTTTGTCTTCATTTGAATTGTACGGACTTTTAGTCGCTTGTTTATGTCACGATGCAAATCACGACGGTTTCACAAATGTTTACAACGTCAAAGCAGAAACTCCTTTGGGTATTTTGTTCAAGAACCAGTCTGTCATGGAAACACACCACTGCGCAATTGCCATTGACATCATTTCCAAGGAAGAAACTAACATCTTCGCGTCATTAAACCCAGCAGAATACAAGAAGATGTGGTCATTGATCATCAACTTGATTTTGATTACAGATATGGCAAAACACTTCACATTTCTCAAAGAATTCAATGGTCTCTTTGATGCAGGAGAGTGGAAGCCAAAAGAGAATCCACAGCACTTCCTGATGCTAATGCAGATGCTCCTCAAATGCGGAGATATCTCCAATGTTTCGAGACCATTCGAATTGGCTGATAAATGGTGTGATGTTTTGTGCGAAGAATTCTTCAGACAGGGAGATCTGGAACAGGCACAAGGCATGAATTATACATCAGATTTGAATGATAGAGCACACTTGGATAAACCAAAGTCACAGATCGGTTTCTACACATTCGTTTGCCTTCCTTTGTATCAAGCAACTGCAAAAGCAATTCCAAAATTGCAAGTAAATGTTGACCAAGTTAACTCAAACTTGGCTATATGGAAGAAGGCCCAGGAAGATAAGAAGAAGGCTGAAGAAGAGGAAGAAGCAAGAAAGAAGGCTGCTGCTGAAGAAAACAAATCTCAGGAAGAAGAAAAGAAATAAGATTTTTATAATTTTTTTTTATTTTATTATTTTTTTTTTGTTAAACATTCTTATTATTATATTTATTAATGATAGTCATCTCTATTTATGTATGTATTTTAGCAATAATCCTCAAATTTAAAATCTTTTTGATTTGATTTCTTACAAAATCCAGAAACATTGATCTTATTTGCATACATTCGTTATGTATGCATTGATTTTGGCTTTCAAAGATTTTTTATAAAAAAATAAAAACGATTGTTGTGATTGCAATTAAAAACATGAAGCAAGTATAACTCTTCATTTGTGACATCCTAAAATTTATGAACTGGCCGCCTATCTTATCTAGATTTGTCTGAATCTAAAAAATTAATGAAAAACAGAGCATTTTTAGATAAAGTAAACAAGAGATTTATCATGGCATTTTAAAAGATCATATATAGTAAAGATAATATGTAATTATTATGGAAATCATTGAGATTAGCAGCAATCGCCATTCTTTTGGGCTTTTTTCGGCAAAGGAATAGTTTCTATTTCAGGCATATTTACATAATTTGCAGATATGATTGAATTAATCAAATCTTCATTAATTCTTTCGATATTAATATTTTCTTTTGCGGAAGCTTTAAATAATTTCAAATTGTTCACATGTGCATATTCTTCAAGTTCAGAATCTGATACTGCTGAACTTGGAACGTCTGATTTGTTACCAATTAGATAAATTATTGGAGAAGAATTTGTATTTTCTTTAATCATGTTAAGCCAATAGTCAAGATTTTCGAAACTAGTTCTATCTGTCAAATCAAACATTAATAATATTGCTGAGCACGATCTGAAATAAGGTGCTGTAATACTGTGATAAGCTTCTTGTCCGGCAGTATCCCATAGATGTATTTTGAATTTCTTATCGCCGCGAGTAACTTCTCTGCATACAAAATCGGCTCCTATTGTTGGTCCTTCGGTAAATTCGCCATTTTTCGAGCTCCATCTCCATAGGAACATTGTTTTACCGGAGTTATGTGGACCTGCTAAGATAACTTTTAAAGTTATGCTTGATGACTGTTGATTCATAATCATTGCTGTAAAATCATAAATGACGTTTTTTTTTCCTTCAAAACACTTAAGTATTCAAAAATTGAACCCATTGTTCAATTTTATTTTGGGTATCGGTAAATCCAACAAATTCAGTTGTTTCCGGGCTATTATTTTTCTGTTGAAGTAAATAGAACAATTGACTATTATTATTTCTTCTTTTTATATATTATTTATTTGGGGCGCGTAAAGGTTTGGCGTCCTAAGGCGTCCTGATGTAAACCATTCAATTTTTGAGAAGTTTACACCATAATTGAATAGTTTATGGCGTCCTGAGAGGAGATTTCAATGGGTATGGCGTCCTAAAAAATAGAAGAAAATGATTTTTTCTCGATTTTTCTAGAAATTGAATTTTTTAAAAAAGAAAAAAATCAAAACGTATACATTCAAGAAAGACTATAAATGAAGATTTTTCTATTTTTTTTTCATTCTAAAACATCTTTTTTTGGATAATTTTTTTTTAATAAATATGTAAGAAAGATTGAAGAAAAAGTAAATTTACTTTAAGAAAATTCGTTTTACATGATGTAAGACCCATAACAACTATAAATATTCAATTATTTAAAATAAAAAAAAGAAAAACAGATTAAATGTATCTCACATCAAAATCCATTGACCTAAGGATGTTAAGTTTCTGTTTTTAAAAGTTGATATTTTTTTTTTAATTTTAAGAAAATTAATAGCATGTTATTAGACAATAGGAGTGTAATGATATTGACTAAACAGAAATGAGAATAGAGATATAATTTTGATAAGCAATATTGCGAACAAATTCTGAAGTAAACTCGCGATCAATAATTGAAAATTACGATCATGTACTGAAAAATGACGATCGAATTGAATGAATAGAATTATATCTAAGAAAAAATAAATTGTATTTAGAAGATGAACAAAGAAAGGTGTATGCTAAAAATCATTTAACAATAAATGGAAATAAAACGAAATTGTTAAAAGAAAAAAATGAAAATTGTTAAATAATATATTATTTTTTAGTCATAAGAATAAAAATATAGTAGTTATAAAAGGAATTAGACTTCATATATCAATTCTTTTTCTCTGTAGATGTGGAACGTTTGCTTTTTCGATCTCTTTCGATGAACTTGAAAATATAAGTTATTATCGCTGAGAATCCTTTCCGAAATAGGAGCTTTACATTTAGGAGGATTGTCGGATGAATTTTGTTTTTTATTGTTTGATTTTGTTGTTATGGAAGATTTTTTCTTATTTTTTTCAGAATTTTGCTTGCTATTAACTGAAACTTGTTTTGACGGCCCAACAATAGCATTTGTAGTAGGAAGAATTCCCAATAACGAGCGCATTTTCGATAATTGTTTTTCAATATGATCAAGAAGGTCCAGTTTATGTTCTAGATTACTAGACATTTGATTTGTAGAAGGATGGTTTTGATTTTCTGGTTCTAAATCTGTAGAGTCTGCAATATTTGAATTTTCGGAGCGAATTGGAGCATCTGAACCTTGATTTGTATCGGCTTGCTCAAAATTAGTTTGAATTGGAGTGGATGAATTAAAATCTAGATGATTTAATGTTTCATTAAATAATGCCATAATTTTTTCTCTTTTTTCATTAATAAACTTAGTGATCATTGTATCTTTATCTGTTAGATCGATCGATTTGAGTATATCTGCATCATGAACTGGAATATTTTCCAACAATGAACTCGATTCTATGGAACCATATGGAGAAATCTCGTTCTGAGCCAAAGAAAGATCACTTACGTTGTATTGTTTGATAGAAAAAATTGTTTTCTCAAGTTCTTTTTGAAAGCAGTCAAGAATATAATTTTTGTAGCTATCAGTGATAACGGTTTTTATATGGCGCTCGATCTTCTGGTTATTTTTGATGGCGTTATATTTATCTAATTGATTTGAGATATCTTCTTAATAGCTTCATAAATGTTGGATTTTAACGAAGAAAATTCTGAATGCATACTCTCGAGGCAATCATTAGTGAATATTGCAGTTGCATTATTATATTGAGATATTAAATTGTAGTGCGGCAACCAAACTTTGTTGAAATAATCAATATAATCTTTGATCGAATCAACTTTATTTTGATTAATTATATGCATTGTAAGTACAAATTCTTCATGAGACATGAATGGAGTAATAGAATATAGCTTAAATAAAGAATTTTGTAAAGTATTGAAATTTTTTGTATAAAGTGCTACAAGTTTCCTGTGTAAAGCTTGTTTGAAATGAAATAGGCATCCAATTATACGGACTTTAGGGAAAATTTGTTGAAGTGCCTCTATCATTCCCTTTTCAAAATCACAATGAATTTGAATTAGCTTTGAAAATTGAATACCCTTGACAGTAAAAATATATTCAAATGCCTTCTTATAAGATTCAAATGTGCGGTTTTTCATGAATATAAATAAAAGTGGTAGATATTGATTTGTTGAAGGTTCACAAATCATAATTGTTAGCATCTGTCCTTTTTGAAAATGTTTTGGTGTAATTTTAAAAGTTCCATCGCAAAATAAATCTGTGGCTTCTTTTGCAAATTGAATTGCCTTCTCAAAACCAAAAAACATCGTCTCACAATTTGATTGAAAATCATGGCCAATGAAAAACTGCTCGCCATTTATTAAACAAAAATTAGCAATTTCATCGTCTGTAATTTTTTCTCCAACAGAAAATTTTCTGGACTTATTATAAACTTCCCTGACCAATGAATCTTTAATTAATGGGTTTTCATCAGTACCAACAGCAAGTTCTGTCATAAATTTTTTAATCTGCTGAAAAGTGCCGTTGTCTTCAGAAAATTTTGCCATTGCCTTATTGTATATTTCTGTCAGAGTCATTGATTTATGAAGATCATTTTTTTCATTTTGTAACTTTTTAAATTGTCTGCATTCGGGTATATGTTCCTTTTGTAAATCTTCGGAAACTGAACTGTTCTCAATTTTAACTAAATAACGTGCTTGACAAGAATGATCGATGCAACGGTAGTAACGTTCAATATTATTTGAATTAATAATATTTGTATGATCATGCGAATAAAGCATATCTTTGCGAACAATTGTATCAGGATATTTTCCAGTAACTGCGGGAATATTTTTAACTGCAATATAACTAAAATATCTTCTGACAGCTTTAGATTCATTTTCGGCGTATTTAATATTAAAATATTGAAGAACTTGTTTGATTATATTCGTTTTTTCATCTCTCGATGTTGATTTTTGGTATTTATCAGATTGTTCCCTGATAAATATTTTATTTTCGTCTGTAAAGTTTGCTCTTTTTTGATTAAATATAGATGATTTTCCCATTAAGGATACCCTTACGTGTCAGATTTTTTGCGCATACGAAGAAGTCATGCTAGACATGAGCTATAAACCTGAAATTTTAGCAACATATTTAAAACTTTTTAAACTACAATACACTTTAATATTCAAGAACAAAAATATTCTTTTTAGAAATTACATAATTATTTTATGTGAAATCTATATAAAAACATATTTTGCGAGCGTAACTTTTTTCTTTATAAGCACCTTATATGACTGATAAACTGTGAAGGCACATAATTGTTAATTCATAGAGTTGATATGTTTCCAAAATTGAGAGGAAATTTGAAAATTGAATACCCTTTCAATTCAATTTTCAAAAGATATCAGCTCCTTCAATAATTGAAGGACGATTTTGATCATTTGCTCTTAAAACAAGTATGCCATGGAGAAAAAAGTTACGCTCGCAAATCTGAAATATAACTATCATATAAAAAAATTAAATTTCTAATTTTTTACTCTATAGATATTATTGGCCATTTGTGTAATGCATAAAAGTTTATGTCATATGCATACATTTGGAAGTATGGGAGACGAGGGAAATTACTTCTATGAGGGACTAGGATTTTTAAAAATTTCTCTATCGGACTCACCATTCAATTTCTCGAAAATTAAAAAAAATCAATAATAGCTAAAATGTATTATGCATAACAAATTTTAATGTTACACGGTATTTTTTGAACTTCATGACATGAATTTTCTTTATATTATTTTTTTTGGATTTTCTATGATTTATGCGATAGGCTGGAACAACATTGTAAGTGCAATGATATCATTTATAGAGAAATCTAAAACTTCAGCATTCAGAACTCGCAACCACAAAAATATTCATTTGCTAAGTAAGTAAAGTTGATTAAGTTCGACACTTAGCTTTTATACGTAAAACCAAGTGTGTATTGTTATTTCTTGTTAAATTATTGAGAAAAAAATAAATTGTAAGAGAAACGATACTGATTATTGAAATAATATTGAGGGTAGCTGCAGATTTCTTCATTAACATGCCGGAAATTTGTTAATCTTGGTTTTCTATCATAAAATCTGTCGAAGAATCTAAAAACGGAGATATGAAATAGAGATCATGTAAATCTAGAGTATCCTGTCAGAAAAATAGACTAAGCATGTAACCCTTTTTTGGTCATAAACACTTTTTACCACTTAGTCATACAGATGATCATTAAATTTAAACGAGCACTTTTTGTCAGAATTTATTCTTTTACAAAGACAGAATATTTTAGTATTATTTAATATTAGTGCTGTAGCAAAATTCAAAAAACGGTGAAAATTCAGTGAATTTGTGAATTCACATTTTTTTTCGACATTTTTCTTGATATATCCATGCACATTAAGAACACAGCTTTGATACGCTTAAAAAAGCATATTTCATATGAAATTGTTAAAGAAATAAACAAATTATATAAAAATTGCACTTATGGGCAGTTTAGATATATAATTTATATATAACATATATACAAATCCATAGACAAAGTGCAATAACTACAATGTTGTAGAAAATTACAGCAGAAATACTGACTTTTTGAAGGATAATAAGAATTCTTCTAAATGTTGTATTTTTATAATTTGATTGATTTTTTTACTATTTCATTAATCTTTTATGAATAATAATTATTTTTAATATATGTGCTATTAAAATTTCAAATTTTGACTAATATATCTAAGTTATCTGAACGAAACATTTAGAAAATATCATACTTACATTGAAATAGCAAGTAGAACATATTAATAGCAAGTTTCTTGGCTTTATATCTATCATCTATTGTTGTTTGATCAAACAAAATTCACTCTATTATATGGTGTCAGTACAGTATACATTGTGCGTCGCCTGTAGCCTACAGCTACAGGCACCGACACAATGAAAAAAGTGACAGAAAACTGACACCATACGGGCGCGCATATGTACGCATATATGTGTAAAAATAAACGTTCATATGTAAACTAACCTTTATTCACTAGCAGGGGCTGATAAATCATAATCGTCGAGAAGTACGATAGGTGGTCCCACCTGTTTAATCTGTATGGAGAGGCAAACGTGACGTAAGAAGCATAACACTGGTTTCTCAGTATATTTAATAGACTCTGCTGTTGGCTTAACTGTAAGCTTATAAAAGAAGCAGATCACGGAGGCAAAGAAACGCTTACATCAACTCCTTGATGAACAATAAGCTTACTTAAGACTAAACAATTAATTATACTAACTTTTATACTTTTTCTCTTTTCCTAAGTTGATCGTGATCACAAAGATCGTGATCTGAGTGACAATGAACTATAAGTTATATGAGGATATATGTGAGTAATATGAGTAAAAATAAGAGTTATAGTAGTAAAATTAGGTGTTTATTCGTGGTTTAGAGGAGGGATCAGAAGCCAGTGGCTAAGTTCCTTATGGCGCGCTTTAATTCATGGTAGGATGTGTCAGCCTTAAGGAACCTTTCATGCCAGCTGTCTGACTCATGTCCCACACGGTTGAGACGAGATCGAAGATCGCAGATCTCGTTGGCATAAGAGTCAACTTTATACTCAAGCTGGCTGATGTAGAGCTCTTTACCTTTCGCTTCCTCTACTTTTTCAGCCAGCTTGAGCTTTAGTTCCTCGAGAGCTACGTTTGACTCCTCCAGCTGCTTCAAATACTTGTGGCTGGTCTTGATTAAACGTAGCTCTCGAGGAGTAGCTCGTGGACCCGTTTTCTTTGCCGTTTGCTTGTGATCGAGATCTGGGATCTTGATCTCGGTCTTCGGACTCTCGCCACCCATCAATATTTCCTCGTCGCCAGAGGACTGTTCTTCAGTCACCTCTGGCTTCTGGATGGCAAGAGTCTTAGCAGGAGCTGTGTTGTTCGCTTCCATTAAAATGTAAACTTTACGTGTCAAAAAAATTCTGTCACGTAAACTATTTATGTTGAGATTGAGTACCAGACTCTAATATAAGTTCAACCATTATATTAGAGTCTTTAGGAATTTCATATGGTTCTTTTACATAATATTCCTTTTTTTGACCATCAGTTGATTCTTCAACTCTTTTGAATGAAAAGCGCTTATAAAACTCAAACACGAGTGCATCTTTATAACCAGTGATATCGTAAAATTTTGGTGGCACAAGCTGTTCATTCACATTACATATAAATTGTTTGTTATCATGAGCAATATTACTCAACGTTACTAAAGGCTCAAGGAGAGGATTTATTCTTATCTGATAACCGACAAATTTATATGTTGGTTTGCCCTTTCGCTCAAGGATAAACCTGATATTCGCTATAGTTATGAAAAGCTCATCAAAGTACTTATATGTTTTTTTATCTTTATCATTTTCGTCAGTGAAATCTGCTATGGTAAAACTATAATATACATGCATTCGCGAGATATATTTTTTTTCCCATAAGTCTAAAAATTTTGCTTTCGATGGAATTACTTTTTGCGTGAATGTTCTACCATGGTCATCTTCCCAAACAAGCTCTGGTTTTCTTGATGTTGTGTCTGTTTCAGTGGTTTCTAATAACGCAGTGATGAAATCCAACACATCTCCTAGGGACATGTCATATTTATAATTCAAGGCATTTTTTTCTATACTACTGTATGAAGGTAATGTTATGATTGGTGATGTACCTTTTCTTAATACATTCAATTTATTTTCATTTGAATCATAGTAACAATCAACAAATTCTCTACTTGCCTCAGTCATTTTTTCCATAAGACCTTCATTCAACTCCTGTGTAGTCATGTTGGGTTTTATGTAATATCTCATGTCAAACCTTTTTTTCACTGATTTTGATGAATCTGTCATTTCTAATGGAATAGCAAGAAACTCAAAGTCTGGATGCTCAAGACTTATCTTTCTTATCTCAAGAGCTTTTGACGCAGGATATTCAATGAAGTCTCTCGGTAATTTATATGAGACTGTATTACCACTTATCGTGCCATCATTCATAACATGTTCATAGTATAATCCATCATATTTAGACATTTTATATGTAACTAAAAGATGGAGAAAGTTATTAATCAAGTAGATAAGATTCTTCATGATGGAGCACGTAAGAATAGTAAAGAACTAAACAATGCACTCATTATGCCATTTTCTGATGATTATCCATTTTGTACTAATGGTGTTTATTTCTACTGCGGTAAGATGGGTTCAGGTAAGACATATGGTGTTATTCGTCATATAATGATAACAGACCGCTTCACTAATACTCCATATTATGACTCAATAGTTATCTCAGCAACATCAGGAACAATGGATAAAACAGCGAAGACATTTATGAGTCAAGTTAAAGCACCAGTACTGAAAAAGGATGATAAAGAACTTATGCCTTATTTAATGAAGAACGTTAAGATGAAAGCAAAGTATTACGCTATTGTTGAGTTCGTTCAAAGTAAGTTCGAAAAAATTTCAGAGGAGATGGAACACATCTTAACAAAGCATCAACTAAGGAAACCTGATGGAAAGTTTGAGTATAAGAAGATTGCAATATATGTTGTAAAGAAGTTGAACAAATATCCTTTCACAAAGTATCCCAGTAATTCTCTATTAGTGTTAGACGATTATGGTGGTCATGACTTATTGAATGACCCACGTTCACCATTAGCGAACTTCATCACTAAGGTCAGACATTATAACTATACTGTTGTCATCATGTGTCAAACATGGAGACATATATGTTTAAACATTAAGAGACTATGCACTGACTTCGTTATCTTTCAAGGTTATTCTATGAGAGACTTTCAGTCAATGATTGAACAGTCAGGAGCAACAGAAGATTGGGAAGAGTTATGGAACAAATACAAAGAGCTACCAACACCTCGTTCATATATGGAAGTTCATATAGTTGCAGGAAAGACGGACTTTAAAGAAGTTAAGCAACAAAAGATGACATTATTTTAAGAAGAAATAAATGGGTTTTGGCGATTATGTTAAAGCTGGATGGGGTATGGTGAAAAAAAATCCTGGTCTTGTAATAGGTGCTGGATTTAACATTGCTAACAAACTTTTCCCTCAAGTTGGTCAAGTCGGTGGTGTTATCGGTAGTCTTGGTGAAAGAATTGCAAAAACTACATTAGGTGAAGATAATGCATTAACGAAGAATCTTAAAGCATTCAATAAAGCTCTTGGTGGTGACTTCAGTAGAGACAAGCCTGTTGAAACACCTATAGTTCAACCTCAACAAACTATTGACAACAATAAGTATAACGCATACATTGGAGGAGCTATTTGGAACAATCATAAGCCATTAGTTCAGTCAGTACGTGTACTATCAGACATGCCATGGATTAATGCTATTAGTGGCACTATACGCAGATAATATATTTTTATGAGGTTTAAATGAGTGAACAAGAGAGGAAACTCATTGATGAACGAGTTAAGAAATGGGAGAATGAACGTCCGATAATTCGTACCATAATTAGCGATCAAAAGTTCAAGCAGCATACATTTGATTTTTTGCGCGATATATATAATGATCTTGCTTTTGATTACAATGCTAGGCAATACTTTGAGAAAGAATATGTTCAAAAAGGTCGTATTAATTTCCCAATGAGAAGAGAAGGCTTTTTGATTACATCAACATATACAGCACGTGGTAGAGACCCTTTTACAGACGCGGTTCGTAACTTTAAAGCACGTTCTTCTATTAATGATGATCCAGATTTCTACATACCTTATTTTCGTCCACCTTCGCATCCTTTACGAACCAGTGATCCTGGATATGACGCTAAACGAAGATATATAGAGACGAAATTAGCTAAATACAAGGAACCTAAGGATCCAAGGACTGGAGAAGTAAAGGAATCACATGTCAAGATAAATAAGCTTTACAAAGTAGTTGAAGAATTGGAGAAACGATCTAATGAGATTAACGCTGAGAAGAAAAAGGAAGTACCAAATATGAACAAACTAGATAAGATGATTAAGGAATATAGAGGATTGGCGAATACATCGAGCGTTCTAATAAAGGAAGTAGAAAACACGACAAAGCTGCAGAAAATGATTCATGATGAATTACTGTTAGGTGAATTTTCTATAAAACAAAGACAGAGTAACTTAATGGGTGAGGCTTATTATTTGGAGAATTGGTATAATGAGAGGTTAAAACAAATGTCGACTCCAACACCAACTCCTACACCTACTCCTACAGTAGCTCCAACACCAACTCCCACTCCTGAACCAACAGTAGCTCCAACGCCAACTCCTACAGTAGCTCCAACGCCAACTCTGACACCAACTGCTCACGCAGGTCCTCCACCAATGTCGAGTAGTCATGGTATAACATTAAATAAACCAACACCTACACCAAAAATAACTCCTGTATCACATCCTAGTACAACTAACCCAGTATCTGATTCAAATCAAGCGGAAAGATCACAGGTTCTTAAAAGAGCTAATACACCAACTGCTTCCCCTATTAGAACACCAGAGCCAACTCCAAGAATCACAAAGGCGCCAACACCTTCACCGACTGTTGAACCAACTCCAGAACCAACAGTACCTCCAACTCCATCTCCAACTCCATCACCGACACCTACAAAAGCACCTACTCCATCTCCAACTCCGACTAAAGCTCCGACACCGTCTCCAACACCAACTAAAGCTCCAACACCGTCTCCAACTCCAGCTGAACCAACTGATGCAGAATCTATTCAAAATTGGTTAGACGAAGAAAAGCGAAAAGAAAAGGCTGCAATTGATGCTGCACTAGATAAAAACACACCACCACAGACACTTGGTGGTTACATGTTAAAGAAAGACAACATTCAAAGACAAGAACGTGCATTGAGTGTTGCCAGAGAACAAGCACAAGAAGAGAAGAAAATAGTTGAAGGAGAAGCTTCAAATAGAGGTGGTCCAGGAACTTACAAAGGATCAAACTATCCAGCAGAGAAAGCCTCGAGTGATAATGTTGTCTCAAGAGCTACTGATTTAGTTACCCATGGTATTCTAACTGGTGCAACAGCTGTTGGTAGTGCTATTGGAACCAGTGTTGACACTGTTGTTGATACTGTAAGAACTGTTACAAATCCTACACCTGAAGATAGGAAGGAAGAATTTCTTACTCTTAATACAAAGGCAAAACCAGGGATATGGATTGGTCGTGGAATTTTAAATGCTGGTAGTGCTATTGGCAATGGCGCTTCAGCGGTAGGGGGATGGCTCGGAAGAACAGCAACATCAACCGCAAATGGAATACTAACAGGTGCCAAATCACTTGGTAATTGGGCTGATGATAAGTATACAAAATATTATGAAGAAAAAGCTCGTAAGGCTAAGGAAGAAGCTGAACGAAAGGCGAAAGAAGAAGCTGAACGTAAAGAACTAGAGGAGCTTAAGAAGAAAGAAAAAGCTCGTAAGGCTAAGGAAGAAGCTGAACGAAAGGCGAAAGAAGAAGCTGAACGTAAAGAACTAGAGGAACTTAAGAAGAAAGAAAAAGCTCGTAAGGCTAAGGAAGAAGCAGATAGAAAGGCGAAAGAAGAAGCAGATAGAAAGGCTAAGGAAGAAGCTGATAGAAAGGCGAAAGCAGCAACTCCATCGCCATCTCCATCTCCTTCACCATCAATAGCGGCTCCTGTGAGACAATTTGGTGCATGGGGTGCTGATTTAGTCAAAGATGCTGCACAAGGAATTGGAAAGGAACTGAAGAACACAACATTAGGTACAATAGAGCGTTTTGGTAATCTTACGGATTACACAATTAGATCAGCTGCTAATCTTTTATATAACCAGACTACTGATAACGGTACTGATGAATTGGCTGTAAACGGACTAGCATCAATTAAGAAATCAGCAGAAGATAAATACGATGAATGGAAAAAGAATATTAAGGGTGAATATAATAAGTATGCATATCCTGAAGAACATATGAAGTTAGAGCTTACCAGACTAAGATCAAAATATGGTAATGAAACAACAAATACTACAACGCAAACGACGAAAGCTGACAGAAAGATTGATGACACTCCTACTCCAACTCCTGCAATGGCGAACATCACAACAATTGCTCCAAGAGTTCCAACAGGAGAAGGTATATCAGGAAATGTTTCAACTACTCATAACATTACTGAAGCAGCTAATGTTTCAGCAGTTGAGCAACCTGTTGTTAATGTAACTCAGGAAAACGCTACTGAAACATCAACACCAAGACAGGATGTAAATAATGAACGTCCAGAAGTTAAGGAGGTTGCAAAAGCATACCTGGAGAAAAATACTACACAAGTTCTTGAAGCAGAAAAGCATCTCAATTCAGACAAAACACCATCTCCAACTCCTGAAGCATCAGTTCCTCCAGCAATTGGTGGAAATATACCTTCAGTATCACCATGGCAGAAATTTTATGGATTGTTTAAAGGAGCGAATAAGGTAATGGATGCTGCTGAGAATCTCCAAAAGTTCAAGAATGAAGTCGCAACTGGTGCAAAGGAAATAGAAGAGAATGATAAACAAGCTGCTGAATTAGCTAAACAACAAGCTGAAGCAACTAAACAAGCAGCAGCTCCTAAACAATCTATATCTAAGTCTCAAAGACAAGGTCCTGACCCAAGTGCTAAAGTCAAACAGAATCCAACACCACCTGCAGCAGAGAAGTCCAAGAAGGACAAGGACAAGAAGAAGGATAAATCAAAGAAGGACAAGGACAAGAAGAAAGATAAGGATAAGAAAAAATCGTCAAAAGATAAAAAACATAAAAATTTATCCAGTAAGAAATGAGTCAAGTCATTAAAGCATCAACTAAACAAAAGTGGTTAACTGAATATATAAAAGATGGTAAGGTTCCTGATGGATATTATGTACATACAATGAAAGACGGACGTGTACAGTTCCGTAAAGTCAAGCAACCTCTCAATGATGAACAGATCAGAAGGAAGATCTCATTGTATGAAACAAAAATAAAGGACTTACAAGCTAAACTCGAAACCCACGATACTTCTCAAGAAAACTAGGCATATCTTTAACATGACCTTCATTAATATTTTTCCTCCAATACTGTACTTCCATTTGTGACAACCTGTTTGGATTACCTTCACGCATACCTCTACCTGTCACTTTTCCTGTATTTTCGTTCTCAAACGTAACATCATACTTTACATCATTACCGACAAGTTCATGACCATCAATACTTTTAACAGCACCGTGTCTTCCTTGATCTAAAGTTTCTCCTTGCTTTAATCCATGCTCTATTTTTGTCCATATCTGATAACGTGGATATCTTGCAACACTTCCATCTTTTGCTCTTAACAAGTATGCACTTGTATCAACTGAATCAACTGTATAATAAGAAGGATCAAGATGTCTTCTTTGTTGGTTACCTTTACCCATGTTCTTGGTTCAACTATGACTTGAACTTTTTGACCAGGTCTTAAGTTATAAAGGTTATTTTTTCTGACATACTCTTCTTTCAATCTTTGCTTCTTTATATATTCCTCATTATCCTTTTCTGTGAAATCATCAGGCTTTTGTTGTGTGCTTGAATGATATTCAGTGTTGTAGTCATTAATAATTTGTCTCATTGTATCTGCAGTGAAAGGTGGTGTTTTATCACCTTCTTTGAGGTTTAACTTCATATGTAACATAGTTCTAATAGTTCTACAGAACCTATTAATAATACCTAGTATGTTATGATTGTATTTCTGTGTCGTCATGTGCTCAATGTTATGACTGACCAACAGATCTCGAACATTTTGTGTCGTATAAGCTGGGTCTTCATCACTAGTAAGTATTGTAGGCTTCATTTCACCTGTAGCTTGTGAAATGAACTTCTGCATTGCACTTAGAACATTGTTTGAGTTCTTTTCACTCATTGGGAACGCATAACCTTTTCTACTGTTTACATTGATGAACAAAAGAAAATATGGTGGTGTTCCACCAGGATTCTCAAATGTATCGAATTGATAAGCTCCCATATCAGTTGAATATATTGGTAGCATCAAATCCTCTTGTATTAAAGTTTTTTCTTGTTTACCAACAGTCATTTTTTTATTAACGTTAAAGTCTTACAGGCATTGAGTAATCGCTATAACCATCATGGTCTGCGAATTCATGTAATCTTGATGCATCAGGTTCTTTCTTCGTTGGTGCATGAAACCTTGCTTCATCATAAAGGTTCATATAATGGTTTGTCACGTTTGGGGTAGACCCAATTTTTGCATATTGAGGATATGAGTAATGATACACTAAGTTGAACCCATTACTACCATCATCAACATATATCTTTGGTGGAGGTTGTCTTATTAAATTCCTTCCTCTTGGGGCTTTGAGTTGGACGATCTGATCTAGATCATTGTAAACAACTCCTGTTGCAGTATATTCTGTGTTGTTCTCTGGGTTAATGTTCGTCATTTATATGAGAATAAAACAATTTTTACTCATAACAAATGAGATCGAAGTCAATTCTTTATGGTGCAGCTAATCTTCCAATTGAACCAACAAGCAATGTTGATTCAAGAACAACTAATAACATTGTGATAAAGAACTATCCATCTGGTACAGTAAGTGATGCTCCAACAGAGATAAAAAAAGAGGAAACAACTACGAACTCAGAAGCACCAATGTATCCTCCTCCTTTAAGTCCATTAACTTCCAACCTGACCTCATCGAGATCTGTGGAGACTTCATCGAGGATTGGTGTAGAAGAGTATTTACTTAGTATATACCAGAAGATACTTCTAGACCAAGACAAAGAGCTCTTTTCTAACTTAGTGAGCAAAGATCAGATCTTACTACCTAAGCCAGACTTGGAAGAAGTTGTTCACAGAATGACTGGGTTCAAGTGTGAAATAGACCTACTGGACCCAGACATTACATGCTGTGGTATTCCACCACCTTTCTCAAAAATAGCTCAGATCAGAATCATTGATGAGAACAATATTGCTCAAGAGTTTAAGTATGCATATAATGCTCAATATACTGAGTTAATAAGTAGGTATAATTTATGTCTTAAGTATGTTATTGTTTAACCAAAAAATTTTTTATCTAATGTTAAATATGGTTGTTCAAACAAGAACAAAAGCACAAATGTTTCAAGACTTACTCAATAAAACTTATCGTTTACTCAAGTAATTATTTTAGAACGTTTCGACGTACTCCTTGATCTTATCAAGAGCTTCGAGCATCCGCTTCTTTGCATTGTACTTGGCGAGGATGGCTTGCTCAATGGTGAGCTCGAAGGCTTCTTTACCGATCGGCCGGTGTTCGCGAAGATCTTTGAGTGCATCAAGAGCTGCAGTGTACTCTGATGGTAAATGGGAGCCATCAATGAGTGTATAAAGGATGAGCATGTACTCCTGCAGTAAGTTCTCCTGTTTCAAGCGGGACTTGAACTCTTCGCGGAGATCTTGAAGCTTTTGGAGCTTCTCAGTGGCTTGAAGGTAGTCAATGATGACCTTCTCTTGTCCCTCAAGTGCTTGTGGGAGGAAGTGGACATAAGCTGTTGACTTCATCAAAAATGAAGTGGTCATGACACTTTTTAAGTTAATGGGCTACGAAGAAGACATAGCTTATGTGAAGAGTTCAATGAACTTCTTAACGAACGCTGTTGTTGTATTCTTTTGTATAAACTTGTTCATTGTTCTCTTGGTCATGCTCCTTTTTTTCTGCGAAGTCCACGGAATGATCAACCGCGATCTCCCAGGAGAGAGATACAGAGGACGCAATACAGATGCAGCAGACCTACTCAAACCCAATTAATAAACACTTATTTTTATTACCATATAAATGATTTTTACCAAACCTCCTTTACCTTTCATAGGTAATAAGTCGAAGATCAGGAAAGATCTTATCGACATACTCAAAGACATCAAAGGGGATTCTGTCTTCGTTGACCTCTTTGGTGGTTCTCTCTATATCTCTCATCTGTTGCATATTATGTTCCCAAAAGCAACGATCATAGCTAACGACTATGATAACTACGTTGATAGACTGAAACACATTCATGACACGAATGAAATACTTAAGGAACTTAAGGAGAGAATAAATGTTAAGCCAGATGAGAAAATTCCTACTGATCAGAAAGAGATCGTCAGAGAAGTTATAAGTAAAGCTCCATACATAGACTGGGATACATTATGTTCACGTCTTCTCTATTCTGGAGCATACAAATACTATGATCTTGACACATTAATGAAGAAAGTGTTATACCTCAGATATACTAACTTATTTGGTGAAAACATAGATGACTATCTTGAAGGTTTAACTATTGTTCATAAAGATTGGAGAATACTCTTCAATGAGTATAAAGATCTTCCCAATGTTTTCTTTATATGTGATCCTCCATACTTCCATACTTATTCTATACAGTATGGAGATGAATGGACTCTTAAAGATACTGTAGAAACCTTTGATGTCCTTAATTATCCATCTATTTACTTCAGTAGTGATAAATCTTATACAGAAGAACTTATAGAGATATTGACAAAAAGATATGGAGAGAAATTTCCTATGAGAAAGCATGTTATAGATAGAGGTTTAATTAATCCTAACACTCAGAAAAATAATGAAGTAATATATGTCACTTTTTCTGTTAATGGAGAAGAGAAAGATCAAGAAGATAATAGTTGATGAGGGAACTGAAGAAGCGACGACATTCATCTTTGACGACGGAAAGCTCACATTCGTTGTCGATAAAAATGGACAACACTTACACAAAAGAAAGAGACCAAGAAAATTTTTAGATCTCCCAAAAGCTAGGAAACCAAAGGAACCATTTCCAGTACCAGCCGTCCAAGAACCAGAGAGACTTTTGATACCAAAACCTGTGGTTGACAAATATGATCCAGATCAGTTCTTCCCAAAAATACCAAAGTTAGAATAAAAACTCCTTTATTTCTTTAGTATTATATAATAAGTCTATTAGTAAGCTCTGTTCTCGTTCTGTTCTGGTATTTTGACGTCTTTTCATGGTCTCGCATAATAAGATCATGAACTTTTTCTTGAGATACTCGAAGAGCTGAGGTAAGTTATCATATTCTGGATATGTAGGAAGCATCCCTGCTATCGTAAGTGTTGTATCAATAAGGATTGGACTTATATCGGAAAAGTCGAGATCTGGAGTAGAATAAGAAGGTAAGTCTCTTACATGTAGGTAGTCATTATATGCTTTACGCATGAGACTGAGTTTCTGGAGCACAACTATGAGACTTTGGTTCTGACGTTCAAGTTTGCTTAAAGTTCTCTCCAAGCTTCTGTAATAAACGTCAACCTCTGTAAGAGCAGATATTTTTGCATTGATCTCGGAGATCTTTTCTTGAACTTCACCAAGTTTGACCTTAACTGACGTTTGAGCTCCCATCATGTTTTCATCAAGGTCATTCTCTATGTCATCAATGATATCTTCCCATGAAGTCATGTTTTCATCATTGATCTTAACGTGAACACTCATGAAAAAAATGTCATGTAAAGTATAAATGTCAGATTTTTACTCTTGAGCTTCTTCTCTCTGGATTGACTCGTCTGTAGGGCTTAATGTGCCATCACGTTCGACCAGAAGGTTCTGCTCAGGTCTGTCAAGGAGCTGTCTGTAGGTCGTGAAGGTTTCAACGAGTCCTTGGTAAGGAGTTTGGAGATCAACATCGACCCATGGGTGTTTGCGTAAGAAAGCAGCAAGGCTTTCACGCTTGGAGTCAATGACATCTTTCTTATTGGTTAATCCTTCTTCAAAGCTTAGGATTACTCCTGCAGTTGATTCAAGTCTTTGGATCTGGCGTCTGGAAACCTTGGTGAGTTGTCTTATCCTCTCGTTTCCAAATACATGCAGGAGATATGCAGAAATTACTTCATTAAGTTCGATTAAACAAATTGGATGAAGATCAGTCATGGCTTTTGTAAAGCAATCTTTTGTAAAGCTGTCTTTTGTAAAGCAGACTTTTGTAAAGCAATCTTTTGTAAAGCAATCTTTTGTAAAGCAGACTTTTGTAAAGCAATCTTTTGTCAAGACGTCTTTTGTAAAGCAGACTTTTGTAAAGCAATCTTTTGTCAAGACGTCTTTTGTAAAGCAAAAGTATTCAATTTTGTGAGAAAATGCTTTTGTAAAGCAGTCTTTTGTAAAGCTGTCTTTTGTCAAGACGTCTTTTGTAAAGCTGTCTTTTGTAAAGCTGTCTTTTGTAAAGCAGTCTTTTGTAAAGCTGTCTTTTGTAAAGCTGTCTTTTGTAAAGCTGTCTTTTGTAAAGCTGTCTTTTGTAAAGCAGTCTTTTGTAAAGACATAACCGACGACCGAATGTCCCAAGATGGTACAACACCAGCTCCAGCATCACCAACACTAGATATGATGGCAATGATGATGCAGATGATGCAACAGCAAACCCAGCTTATACAGCAAATGCAGGAAAAGAAAACTTTCAATAAACCTGCAAAGAACTCACAAGATCTTGAAGCTGGACTCAATGCTCTCAGGAACGACTACAAGAGAGAGCAGATGACGTTTAGGAAGAAGGGTGATGAAGATTATGAGAATGATCCGATCGAGGAAGACGAGATCAAGTCCACTGCATCCACAAAGACCCTCCAGGATGAAAGAGATGATGAGGGATTCCTTACCAAGTCTCAAAGACTCTTTGTCCTTGAGTTCTTCACGATCTCTGCCTTGAGATCTATGAGGAATTGGAAGGGTCGCGTTCCAAGTGGCTCAAACAAGCGCGAACTACTCATGACCGCAGTACCGCTCACTAAGACAAAAGTCCAGCTCATGGACTTTATCCTTTCCGCTTGTCCCGACGAGATCTAAGATCTGATCAGAGTAAAAACTTACATTTATGAGCTAAGCTCAGTAATAATTAGTTGTTTATTCTTTCTTCTCATACTTCTGTGCAAGGTTTCCACGGAAGAACTCAAGCAACATTTGGATCTTTCCAAGCTTTCGACCTTCTTTTTCGAGGTCATCCTGGTAAGTTCGGAATGCGTCAACGTGTGAGCTCGCATAGAATGCAGCAACAACAACCTCTTCTGCACCTTCTTTGCTGTCAAGTGGCATGAACTCGAATCCTTCCATTCGACCAAATAAAAGTGACAAAAATGTCAATGAGACCCACTCGTTGCATAGATGCTAAACCTGGTCCGAAGATGCAAAAGTTCTTCAGAACACTCATGTCTGACCAGAGGGAGTACGGTCATGAAGAGGTCATACAGATCTTCGATCAGTGTGTACCAAAACCTGAGAATCCAGACGAACTCTTCATGAAAATTTACTTGCTTCAATGGAGAGATGAGAGAACAGATATGAAACTCAGACCAATACCAATCTTTCTAGGTTTCTGCAATTACCTAGAACAAGCATACCAGATTAAAGGGTCTGACACCATCTTCCTCCAAAAATAAACTTTATCGTTTATAACATTCAGGATCTACATCTATTTCTTCTGCTTCATCCTCAATGTCGATCTCTTCGACAGGTTTGATAGCAGCTTTGAGTAAGTTCTTACCCATTGTCTTAAGTTCAACTGGGTTATATTCTTTGTCTTTACTCTTTGTTGATTTCGTGAGATCTACATATAAACAATAACTTTTAGTCTTGTCAAGGTTTATTCTCGCTGAGAAATGGTCAGGAATGTTTATAGCTATCTTTTCAAACTTGAGTAAATTAGCTAAACCTTCATTTGTGTATTTCTGCTTATCGACAAAGATCATGATCGGACTTGCACTATAACCATACTTTCCTTGACATAATGTTTGTGGTAAGCATATAAGTAGTCTCTTTGCTGTTTTATTTTGCTTCTTCACTTCATCTACAAACTGTTGGATCTTAAAGAACTTTATATGATGTTCAGACATCTTTATATACCCGATAAAAAGTTCAGATAAAAAAATAATTAGCTATATTTTTATTAGTGCATAAATGAGTCTTTCTTTGAGATTTTCTGATGAAGATCTAACTTTGGTAAGATCTTTAAAAGATGATGAAAACATTCTTTCTGTCATTGATGAAGAAAAGAAATACTTCAGTAATGATGTAAAAATAGAGCTACTCATTCATACTGAGAAACAGTTTGTGATCGTGATCTTGAGTTAACCAACTCGTATCCAAGCGTGCATTGTTATATAAGGAGGCATATAATCTTTTCCATTACCTGCTGGGTCTGTAATGCCAGCTACAACATGTGTATGATTTCCTGCAGTTCCACAGAAAATACCTGTGCTTGAATCTACTGGGTCACTTGAAATATCATATCTATGCATTCCCTGTCTATCCGAACCTGCTGCAAGATTTGTATAACCTCTTTTTGTCATTGAATGTGAATGGTTTCCTTCCACAGATGTTCTTCCACTGAACCTATGCATATGTGAAGGAAGGTTTTCAATACCTATTTTCTTTGAACCTCCCATCTTCATTGACTGCGTATTAGTGTAGAATGGAAAACTGTCAACTATTTCATACCATCTACCACCAAATAAAGTGTTTGGATTTATTGGATTCATAGACGTATAAACAGCTCCTATAGGATATATTAAATCATATATGCTCATAGCTCTATAAACATATTCTAAAGAACTTATGTCATTAAATACCATTTGGAATGTATCTCCCGGATGAAATGTTGCATTTGTTCCACTTTTATAATGTAATGTTAGTTCAATAGAATTATCCAAGAAAAATTCAAAAGTATCTGGTTGAAGACCTCTAACAAATTCAAATGGAGTTGCTGGTTCACCATTTATAATTTCTGTTGTAAATGTCATTTTATCTGGTTTCCAAAATTTCTTTGTTAGTTCTGCATCCACATAAGTTTTGTCAGCTTTCTTATCTAACATTGTTGGTAGCTCATGTGTTTCAAAGTTTCTGACATGACCTTCAATGTTCGTACATTTACTATCTAAACTATTAAGTGTATCTCTTACACTAGTGCTTGGATTCTCTAAAGGTGCACTTGAGCCTAAAGTATAGTTCAAGATAATGTCATCAGCTCTTATTTTCTTGATTTGAACTGGTTGGTCATTATCAGCTCCTATTTTATTGATTATAACAGGTTTGTCTTCTCTTGAACGAATTGATTTAACTGTCAAAGGTTCAGTGAACTCATTATTTTTCAAAGGAATCAATGTTGTATTGATGTTTTCACCATTAATATATACTTCTTTTGCATCAATACCAGATGGGAATGAAACTCTTTCATTAACTTTAACTGTTGTACCATCACCTGGGTACATATCTTTCTCTGGACCTTTGATTGTCTTAAGTATGACAGACTGTGATAAAGTATATTCTTTAGATGCAACTTTACGTATCTCTTCGTCAACATAACTTTTGTCAGCTTTGTCTGCAATCTTAAGTGCAGTTCTTCCTCCATTATTTTTGTTCTCCTCAACTTTCTTCGCTAATTCAGCAAGAATGAGATAAAGATAATCAGTAAGGTCATCAGTACCAGACATATTAATATTATTGTTCTTTCTTGATGTATTAGCAACTTTCACTAAGGTCACAAAATCAGGGTACAAAGTACTTAACGTAGAAATGATTGTTTTTGGTCCAGGATCTTTCTCTTCTTCATCATTAGCATCACGTGGCATTGGAATTGGTTCCAAAGGTCCAGTCACATCAAAACTCTCAAGTTCCATATAACCTTCATTTCTGAATCTTTCTATATGAGTTATCTTCTGGAAACTTGTTTTAGTCTTTTCAACTAAATTTTTTATTCCATCCACAAAACCTCCTTTATGATTTGGACCAAGATTACCCAGAGTGTCAAGAACAGTATCTATACCTTCTTGACTTTCAACAAAAGCCCAAAGAGCATTTATTTGACTCTGGAGTGATATCCATGAGGCTGCAGTAGCACCGGCGTTTGCTATGGCAAAGATGAATGATAAAGGGTTGAACTTAAGACCAGATTCTTTATCTTTGACAATTTCAACGAAGTCATTGATATTTTTCTTCAAGTATTCCTTAGTCAGAAGAACTCCATCGCCAGCTATACCAGTTGCTTTTGTCTTTCCTTTAACATCAAATGTGATTGGTTTCTTCAATAAAATAACTTCTGGTGTTGTACTGATGCTATCATTAGTGGAGAAAAATTCTCCGACATGACTTGCTAAGTATTCTTTCGTCAATAATGTTCCATCACCAACAATACCAGTTGCTTTTGGACCATCTTCTGTGAATGTCAATGGTTTCTTTAACATAACTTTATCTAAGTATATTGCAATACCACTATTTTGTACTTGTTCATGACCTAATATATAAGCAAATGCTGCGTTTAAAGCATTATACAATGTATCTTCTTTAAATGTTAATTGACTGTTTTCAATCATTGGTATATTGAACAGTGTAGACCTTGGGTCAAAATGAACTCCATGGTCAATCGATAATAACCGTTTAACATGATATATTATAGTCTCTAATGCTTCATTAATATTTACCTCACGAGTTTCTTGCAAACCATTACTCGCCATACATGAAAACATATAATCTCTATCAGTTGTGAAGAATGGAGCATCTAAGTAATTATTCTCTACTTTTGTCACACGATTCTGTAACGCTTGAAGGTATTGATTTAAGTCTGTTTCAACAATTGTACCATCTGGTTGCTCGATAGGTAATATACCAGGACCGATGGTAATGTCTTCATCAGCACCTTCTTTATGTATGACTAAAGCATTATCAGTAATTCTGAGAGTATATTCTTTATATTGAAGTACGCTAGACTTATAACATTCATATGCATATGGAACAACACTCATTCTTTTACTACATATAAAAATGATGTATTATCTACAATCGACTGATCCTAATAACTACGGGACAATACAGTTTCAAGCAGATCCTAACATGGGGCATCCAAGTAAGATAAAGATGAGAGTAAAAAGTGTCAGTACTATGGCGAACTTTATTGTTTGTGACGAAACAGATTATTTTGTCTTACAGTTAGACGAAGATGGAGAAGAAAAGGTGTGTACATTTAAGTCAGCTCTTTCATTTGATATGGATACTATTGTATCAAAACTACAAGAGATTGTAACAAAACAGTTTGATTATTATAACAAGAAAAAAGGTCAACATAATGTAACAGTTTCACTGAGTGCTACGAATCAACTTATATTTACGTCACAGGACAAAGGACATAAAGTCTATTTAAAAGATGCTTCACATAGAGCAAATCTTATTTTAGGTGCATATGGAATAGAACTACCTATTGTACATAATTATTATCTACAAATGCCAAAACCACCTATGCTCAACTTCGGGTATCAGTTATACCTTCGTTCATCAATGTCTGTCATCTCTGGGTTCAATAATATTGACCAAGTTGATGATCGAAGAAAGATCATGTACAGATCTACATGTTATAACATCAATGAGTTCTGGATATCTGGTAAACCACTTATATGTAAGGAATCCTCACCATGGATAGATGCATTTCCATGGGAACTAACTAATGTTACGTTTACCTTAGTTGACTTCCAAGATCAGCCTGTTCGATTATTGTCACCAATGTTTATGGTGATAGAGATTAAACCAGATAAGCCAGAAGTTAGAGAAACCAATGATGTCAGTGATGATGATACAGAATCTTCGTACGATTATGATTACGATGACGATTAAAAAAAAATAACGTATATTTTTTTATCGGTTATAAAAGACCAACATGCTCAATGCTATAAAAGGATTAGTTAATAACCTTTCACCAGAAGATAAGAAAGGTATGCTTGATATGTTTGGGATCAAAATGCCTAAGAAAGCTAAAGACATTACCAATAAATTAGCTCTGGCAATTAAGAATCAAGGAGGTACAGGAAGTGTAGCAGATATTTTCAAGAATGCTAAGAGCTTCTATGATGACTACAATGGTATCATGAATGTTCCAGCTTCAAATTCCCCAGTTGCTTTAGATCACGATCAGAGATCTCATAATAGAGCGTTAATGGAGATGCAACCAATATACTCAGACCCTCCACCAAAGATTGATGAGAGCGAATTAGCATACAAAGAAATACAGAATGCCTTTTACGTTGTTAAGAACATTAATGGTCAAAAACTTCCTGATGAGAAATGGTTAGACCCAATAACTAAAGCAGGAGAAAGATTCATTATGTTTAACATTGACCAATACAGTCCAAGAGGAAAAGATTACTTCAACAAGATGTTTCCAAGAGTTATGGCAAAGTTCATTGGACAGATAGACCTTTTCAAACAGAAGTGGACATTCTATTACGACTTTGATGAGAAGAGAAACATTTTGCGTCATTTGAACATCAATACAATGGGATCATTAGTTCATCAGTTACTTAATGAAGCTCCAATAGCAGAAGTACAAGAATTAGCATCTAAAGTCCTTGAATCAAACTATGACTTCTTCCTTTGTAGTATTCCTTCGTTAAGGAAG